GGGCAACAGCGGGCACGACTGCAGTCTGTGGTCGGGCGCGCTGGCGGGAATCCTCGGGCGTGCGCTCCTCGAGGAGCTACTTGGATTGGGCCTTCGTTCTAGCTTTTGGGCCAGGGCGGGCCCAGTCCAGAACAGTGTACTTATCAAGAATACCATAAAGAGAATTCTTTAATGACTTTAATGTAGTATCTTGGATATGATGTAGAGCAATAAATCGTTGCGCGACATTCTACCGTGACCTTTCAAGCCTTGAGATGCATGCTTCCAATCTCTATATCCGCTTTTAATGAAGACTTCCAAACCAAAGTGCTCGACCCTCCCGGGTTGCTTAAAGAGAAAGCAATAAAAAAATAAGTTTCATTCTTCATCTCACTGTATCCTAACCATGTATAATTCTTATACCATGATTTACTAAATAATCTTTTAATACTCTCAAATGGAGTACGAGGAAAACTTGGCAAATCTGGTTGCATTGGACCCTTCAATATATATACCCTCCTCATTTGGTCTTGAATATCTGGAGCATACTCATTAATTTGTTTCCTACGATCTGGACCACGCATAATCTCATTTGGATTAAACTCATTAACCACATTAGATAGTGGTTCTAATTCAGCTTATGGTTGCACAACATTCATATTCTCAATATTTTCTCTAGCAACCAAAAATCTCCTCATCTCTGAACAAAAGATAAAATAATTACAAAATTGTAGTTTCAAAATTTAAAATAATAATAATCAAATAAAACAAATAAGAATAAACAATGCTCTTCAAAAAAATAAAACAAAATTTAAAACTCTAATAAATAAATTAGTATTTGTAATTGTACATGGTTAATCAAACAACCTAAACTCTAATAAATAAATAAATAAATTAGTACATGGTTAATCAAACAACCTAAACTCTAATCAATAAATTAGAATCAAACATGAAATTAAACAGGTATAATATATAGACTTATTACTACAAGTTTCATTTGAAAAATAGCAACTAGCATAATCACTAATTGATTTGTAATTGTAAATATGTCAATTCAATTTTGTACTAGTTTGCTGGCTCAAATTAAACTTTTTACATTGAACATTTGTCAACTTTCCAGTGAAATAAAAGTACAAAAAGAGAAAAATTATATACTTGCTTATCTAATTCTTTATCAGCACATTATTAGTAATCTCTAAATCTTTATTTCTTGTTGTGAAAAATATATCAAATAGGTTAACAGACCAAGTCAAACACATTTAATATATTTGTATTATATAAAAAGAGAAACGCACATCTGCTATTTAATAATCAAGTTAGAGTTTTACATTACCTGTTGTAGGAATAGTATAGAACTGTAAGAGAAGTTGGCGACGGTAAATTGAACAGAGAAGAAAAGAGAACGGCGACGACTGCTATTCAATAATCATTTCCTTCTTTAGATTTTTTCACTTCTAGGTTTCACTATTTTTTCTTTTTCTTTTAATTTTATTTATTTAAAAAAAAATATGAATACTAAAAAAATTTTAGGCCGGACCGAGCCTAGGCATTTGTCCAAACTGACCATATGGTAGAAGTGCCCATGTCCATTAGTGAATTGACAATAAAAAAAAGAGATTAATACAATGACAAAAACTTTAATTAATAGATAAATTGTATAAGAAAAAAATACCAACATAATATATGTATGTAGGAATATTTATTAATATTTCCTAATTTTTAATGTTATTTATAATTTAAATATTTTTTTAACTTTTGTATTTTATTTTTTGAGATTATTTTTTAAAATTTGAATAGAGTTTCTAAATTGTTTGGGTCGTCCCTGATTTTGATTACCATGTTTTTTTTGGTAGTTATCTTTAATTTATATATTTAATTCAAGTTGTTAAAGATGTATATTTATTTTCAGAGTTAAATAAAGATAAAGGTTTATTTGCTATTATTATCAAAAAAAAAATATTAACTTTATAAAATTTATATTTATTTTGTCAATATTTATTTATCTAATGAATATAGGGTTGAAAATGCTAGTTGAGATAGTAACCTAATTGTTTTTTTATATAATTATTTTAATTTTATTAAAGGGATTGTAAAAAATGTATCAAATTATGTCATTTATATCAATTGAAATATGAATATTCTTTTTTTAGACATTATTGTCATATTTTTATTATATTCTCTATGATCACTATAATAAAAGAAAAGAGTAAAGTATGTTCACTTTAGTAATATATATTTATGAAAATAATACATTTATTTAAGTTAATAACTAATTGTTAGATTAATATATTTTTTTATTATAATTACTATGAGCACTACACTGAAAAAGACTTACGAAAGCATTTTTTTTTTGCCTTTAAAAGCGTTTAAAAGCGCTTTTTAAGGTGGCGCTGCTATAGGTTTTAGCAGCGCTTTTTGTTTAATGAAAAGCGCTTTCGTAGGTCTACCTAATACAACACTTTTTCTAAAAAGCGCTCTCTTAAGTAGGCTTTTGGCAGCACTTTTTTATGAAGAAGCGCTTTCATAGGTCTACCTAAGGCAACGTTTTTTTCTGAAAAAGCGCTCTCATAAGTTTTTTTTTAGCAGCGCTTTTTTCTGGAAAAGCGCTTTCATAGGTGGTCTTTTAGCAGTGCTTTTGCCTGAAAAAGCGCTGTCATATGTTTACCTTAGATAGCGCTTTTTGTGAAAAAGCACTTTCATAGGTTACCTAAGGCAGCGTTTTTCTTGAAAAAGCGCTTTCATAGGGTGTTTTTTTTAGAGGTATAATTTATATAATTCATATACCTGCATTGTTTGCAGCATATTATTTATATAAACCAGTTGTCATAACATGTAATTCATAAACCGCGGTAATGCATTGTATACCATTGTAATCCAAAATATATATACACCACTTTTGTACCTCAAAATATATAAAAACCATTGTTATCAGCATTGTAACTCAAAATCAGTCTTACAAAATCAACCCTAACAACAACTAAACCAGTCCTAATGTATGAAAGAAACACGGTCAATTATGTATTAAGGTCCTGGTCCTGCGAGATTTAAACATAATAACACGGTCAATATGGTATTCCATGTACACATGTAACGTATTCATAACATTTTTCACATAATAATGTATTCATACCTTATATGATTCTCTGCTCAATAAAATATTGACACAATTCCTCTTTGATTTCTTCCAACTGAAGTTTCGTGTAATATGCACATTTGTATTCATCGAAGTACTACATAACAAAACATAATATGCATGATTTAGTTAAAAGTAAAAAATTATATGAAATATCCGAGAAATAATAAAACAAATCCTAAGTTATAAATCCATACCGTGACTGGAATCTCTATTTGATTCAGTTGAAGGATTTCTTTGGTAAACCGTATAACAAAGTATCCGCAATCTATACCGTTTTGCTGTTGAGGACACTACATAGAAAAACAAATAAGAATATATAGTTGTATTGTTTTATCAAATAGCATAAATATTATAAGCAAAATAGTGGAAATTAATATACCTGCACTTTGATCCAATTAATGTTGTTTGATTTAGACCGTCGTACCCGAGCTTCTCTTTGACACCAGAATACTTGTATCGCTCTAACAAAATAAAAATATATATTTAGAACAATGTCACAGAAATAATTAAATATATAAATACACACAAATATTTAGAAGAATCTCACTTACGTATCAATCATTAACTTCATATCCGGATAATTTGTCCAATCACCGTAAACCGAATTCAGATAATAGACCACTTCTTTTATAGGATCGATAGCAACCAACAACCAGTGACGTCTATAAATTAAAACAACAGTTTATAAGAAAATTTTCTACGCAAAAATTACAAATATTAAAATGAACTTAGAATGAAAATCTAACCCTGTAGGAATAGTATTATACGCCCAAAGATATAAGCTTTCTGTACTTCCAGTTGCCATGAATCTTTCGACTAAGTGCTCTCTTATTGAATCTGGTTCTCTACCAATTGTCGCTCCGCTGACACGGGAGGAAGACACGAAATAGAATCTGTTTGACAATTGATTCCCGCGCATCAATTTGTCATATAACAACCTTAAATAAAAACATAATTAATATTAGACTATATTCATTGAAATGTTTAAAAAAAAATTCAGCTAATTACATAATATAAAGATGGGGTTACCGGATGTATGCGTGCATAATACTGACGCCTAATTCTTTATGACAGAAAATCTCTTCCACGTCCTCATGTCCAATTATTTCGGTGCAAGGAAAACCAAAGATACCTTGATCCATGTCCATTTGACGAATACCACCATCCATCAAATCTGTTGTTCCCACTATTGTTTCAAGACATTGCCGGTATCGAGGGAAAAATTTAGTAGGAACCCTTTTCTTGGGTGGTACGCCAACGATTTCTCTCTTAGGAACTTACAAACCATAAGTAGGAAAATTGAGAAATGGTAGCAAAACATAATGGTAGCAACTTAAACTCATCTTTTCATCCAATACCTTCACAAAATAATGAGTTGAACCATCCCTCATGAATACAAAACTCAAACAAATACATGAAAGCAGAGAAATGCAACAAACAGAAGAAAAAAAACACAGATAAAAATGAGAAAATGTAAGTTAGCCTGGCAAGTAGCTGCTACAACAACTCAAAATGAAAAGGCATGAGCATATTAGTGGTTTAAGGTATTTGAAAACAAAAGACACGTTGAATCATGTGGTGAGACATTATTAGTTATAAAACAATGAAGACACGCGGAATTCAGCCTGGCCATTAAGCACGGTTTAAGGTATCTGAAAATGCTTGATGTAAAGACATACTGCCAGTCAAAATGCACATTTAGTAACTTAAGAGAGGAAATGTAATCATATATCTTACATAAATAATGACTTTTAAAATGAAAATTGCACAACAAAGTGATTTATTAGTAATTGTTTCACTAATTACTGAGTGAAAAAGTAAGTTGTGCATTCTATAATATCATCACATGTAGTTTAGCTCTGCATTAAACCTTGTTTCAAACTTATCAACAAACTGAATCAAACTTCCTAAACATATCACAGTGAGGTGTTTCTCTGATATATCTCCACTGGCGTCGCTGCATCTCAAACTGACAATTCTGGCGAAGAATACCAAAGTATTCTCTCTCAACTCTTTCCTCAATTATAAGACGCTCGCGGCTATCCAAGGGATAATCTTGTTCAAACTTTGTGGACTTAACATAGTAGTTAACGCCCTTAGGGGTAGTAAGCCAGTGTTCAAAGGGATAGTTTTGCGAAAGAGTGTAGACAGGATCTGGTGAAGGCAAAAAGTTAATAAGTAAAACGAGAAGCACAAGAAGCACCTGAATCAAAGCTCGGACATTGAATCTGTCAGAGCCATTATCAACAGCAGGTTGTCTATGAGCCATCCCCGACCCTACAAAACTAAACCCACAGAAATTAGCAGCATGGGCCATTCCTCCAAAGAAGAAATTCCTAAATATTTCCTCACCTTCAACATCAGCATCATAGTAAACATTAAAACCTCTTGCAGAAGTCGGTCTGGCAGCAGCACGCCTTTCATAAACCACTTCATCTTTTCCAGAAACATCATACTTTCTCGCCAAGCAGTATTAAATCAAAGATAATATGATCATGTGGTTGTATAAATCAAAGACAATGGAGTAAGCTGGTGCGAAATCAGTAAAAAAAATCCAATATAAAACTTAACAGAATTGACAGGTTCAACTTTTAAGTGCAAAAATGAAGTGTAATCATCATAACCTACAAAGAAATACATGCCAGATACACAGTTCAAATAAGCTTATAAACATTATAAACATAATGAAAAGATTTAGAAGTTCATTAAGTGGCTTAATCGAAAAGCAATCCCGGGTTTAATGAAGCGGTAGCATTCACAAAACCGCTTCCCATGTCAAATTGAGTTGCTGGAGAGGGATACGACCGCTGAGCCATTACTGGCTTCCCATTCAGGAAATCATCTAAAGTAGTTATACATGACATCTTCTTTTCCGTTTGTTTCCGTTCCTTTCTTAGACACTTTCAATCCATAAGATAAATAAAATTCTGAAATAGCCAGTAAGAATAAATAATATCAAAAACCAAAACTCATATTTATGAAATTGAAACTCTAAATAATTTACTTAAACTAAATGCCCAATCTATAACAGATCTTTGTTTGCACATATCTAACTCACTTGGACATGGTACTTGAAAACCTTAGATCTAGATCCAGATCCAGTTTCTTCACCATCGAACTAATACGTGTAACACTCTCCATTATTTCTCTCTTAGCATGTTACTCTCCATTATTTCTCTCTTAGCGTGTTACTTCTATGCACAACTTCTTAATAACTTCTATGACAATAGAAACCATGCTTGCTCAAAATCATTAACCAAACAAAAGCACACGAAAACCAGACAAACACATACGAGATGAGGAAAAAAATGAAACTTGATACGAATTGCAGTTGGCCGGAGAAGTGGAGCGCCGTTGACCGCCGTAGAAGCTCTGGTTTAGGGTTTTTTCGTGAAGAAAATCTGACTGAGAATAGAAAAGTGATACGAATTGCATTTTGATATTTATTATAAAATCACCTACGAAAGCGCTTTTAAAAGCGCTTTCTAAAGGTCATCTATAACAACGCTTTTACATCAAAAAGTGCTTTCGTAGCATATCCTATAGCAGCGCTTTTAAAAGCGCTTTCTAAAGGCCAGCTTTAGCAGCGCTTTGGAAAAGCGCTTTCTAAGGCTGACCTTTAGCAGCGCTTTTGAAAAGCGCTTTCTTAAGGTACCCTCTGAAATGCCAGCTTTAGCAGCGCTTCCCAAAAAGCGCTTTCTAAGGGTGACCTTTAGAAGCGCTTTTGAAAAGCGCTTTTTTAAGACACCCTTTGAAAGCGCTTTTTTAAGCGAATTTTTTTTAAAACCTACAACAGCATTTTTTTTCCAAAAGCGCTTTCTTTTATGTGCTGCTAAAACTTATTTTTGGCGTAGTGGAGATTAAAAATATTTATTTTAAGTTTTTATTTTTTTTATGATTTTAAAGAAAACATAATTTTAATTTTAGTGTTTAGATTCACATTTCTATTTTAAATGAGAAATGTTATACATAATAAAGAAAATTCTCGTGAATATCACGACCGATAAAATTATATATTAAACTACTTCATCATCCACTTAGATTTTGTTGAGACCAAATGATTAAGTATATTAGTCATCTTTCCATATACCAAGAAACCTTGTTATACATTTATGATTATTATACTTCAAACACCATAAAAAAAATATAGTTGATTATGATGATTTATGTATCAAGAAAGCTTATTAGATAGTTATGATGATTTTTAGATATTTATGAAAAAGTTGATATAGATTGAACTAATACAGTTGATGATTTAAGAACAATATAAAAAAAAAAATTCAAGATGATAACTCAACTTTAAGAAAGGGGCGTTGGTGTTGTTGTGGTTCTATATAACATGTGTTATTAAAGTTCAATTGTAAAGGATAATGTCAAAGGATTAATTGGTGAAGTAGGTAAAGCAAGAAAACATGATTTTTTTTGGATTTAGCCAACCTGTTTTGATCCATATAGTGAATCGATTAATTTAGTTTCGTGATTCAGAGGGACGATTCACTACTCAAGTCTTGTTTCTACTAAGAATCAAAATCGGATAGTACCCGAATGATTCGTCTTTAATGGAATAGTGATTTTTACATATTCATTATTTTTCACGAAAATACTCTCGCTATTAAAAATTATCCATTTTAAATTTTAAATTTAAGAAAATTAGTTATGTGTATATGTATAATATATTTAAGGCACCATATGATTGGTGATAATTGATACATTGAACAACATATGTAACATGTGATGTGCAATCCTTTTATATTTAAGTTGTTAAGTTTTGCATCGTTAAACTAAAACTTTAAATTTTGTTATATAGAAATATAATAAAAAAGATTGTAGTGAGAATTTATATACATTTTTAAATGATGTGTGAATAATTGATAGATATAACCTTATTTTAGTTTCATAATAAAGAAATAATTGCAAGACAAATATAAATATTATTCTTTAAAATTTATGAAAATAATATACTTTTGTCTTTTTTAGGATTCAAACTCATGATCATTCATAGAAACTAAATATGTGATTTTTCTTTTTGAAAAGTGAAGAAGATTTTAGTGTGTGTCATATAAGAATTTAGATGATGTGGCAAATACAGAGTGTTGTTATATAATGTGTTATAAACTCTTTGAAATTTATGAAAATAATAATTTTTGTCTTTGTCACGATTCAAACTCATGACTATTCATAAAAAATAAACACATGATTTTTCTTTTTGAAAAGTGAAGAAGATTTTGGAGTGTGCCACATAGGAATTTAGATGATGTGGTAAATATAGAGTATTGTTATATGATATGTCATGAATTGTTATATGATGTGTCGTGATATAATACGTCGCTTCAGTTTGAATATATTATATAGATGTGTATGTATATTATTATGCATGTTTATTTTGTTATCATGAGTGAGTTGGCTCTATTAGGGGTGTTCGCGGTGCGGTTTGGGCGGTTTTGAAGTAAAAAATCATCCGAACCGCAAGAGAAAAAAACACGCGATTCAGTTTGGTTCGGTTGGCTTTTAAAAATAAATACGAACCAAACCAAACCAAACTAATGCGGTTTGGATTGGTTCGGTTGGTTCAGTTTTTTACAAAAAAATTATTAAGTCATACAAACAAATATAGAGGAAAATATAATTTTGTGTTTAATTGTTCGTACATTACCATAAAAAAATTTATAATTGTCAAAATAAGTTTATAATTTGATACATAAAATTGCGGATTATAATTTTATCTAAATCTAAAAAATGACATAAACAAGATTGCATTCTTAAATAAATATTATACAAAGAATACGATAAAATATAGTTTGTGGAAATAGTATTTATAAATGAATATGTTGTGAATTCAATGCCAATAACAAAGTATAGAATAAGGGATGAATAACGAACAAGGAAGAAGAAGAACACAAGAATTGGTTATAACTGCTTTTCTTTACTTTCTCTTAGAAAACAAGATTACAAGTTTACAAGAATAACAAATAACCCTCTCACCCTAAATTAGGATTTGCTGTGTTGCAATGATGAGAGACTAGTATGCTATTTATAATAAAACCTAACATACTAACTAATGGGCTTTTTCCACAAGGCCCATTATACAAGCTAACTTAATAATCAAGCTAACTTAACAAATTAGGGTTTAAACACTAAAACCTAATTTAACAAGCATTCTTCGACAAATACATGCTTCGACTACAGCATGTACTTCGATCATGCTAGAGTTCGATCCAAAATCCCACAAATCTCCACCTTGGACCTAACTCTACAGCATCAAGAGACACTAACTAGCTTTCTTCATGCAGCTTTATCAACTGCATACAGTGGAAAAACTTGCAACTTGGCAATGTTTTGGTGATCATATCAGCGGCATTGTGATCTGTCGAGACCTTCAGCACTTGGACTTCTCCACGCTCGATTACCCCTCTGACGAAATGCAGCCTCACATCTATGTGCTTGGTTCGCTCATGATAGGCTGAGTTCTTCGACAGGTGTATTGCACTTTGACTATCACATTTAACAGTGATACCTTGACCTTGAAGTTTCAGCTCCTTTGCAAAACCTTCAAGCCACAATGCTTCTTTCACAGCTTCAGTTAGGGCAATATATTCTGCTTCAGTAGTTGATAAGGCAACAACCTTCTGAAGAGTTGCTTTCCAACTAATTGCTGTACCAAACATAGTGAAAACATATCCAGAAATAGATTTTCTGGAATCCATACAGCCTGCATAATCAGAGTCAACATAGCCTTCGACAGCTGCTTTACTATCTTCACCCAAGGCTCCACCATAAATTAAGACTCTGTTCAGAGACCCATTTATGTACCTTAGAATCCACTTTAACGCTTGCCAGTGAGCCTTTCCAGGATTCGCCATGTACCTGCTTACAAGACTTACTGCATATGCTATGTCGGGTCTAGTACAGACCATAGCATACATCAACGAACCAACTATATTAGCATATGGGATGTTGTTCATATAGGTTCTTTCAACATCAGTACTGGGACATTGATCAATACTCAGCTTGAATTGAGGGTTTGTTGGAGTCACAACAGGCTTTGAGTTCGACATACCAAACTTGTCAAGAATCTTTCGTAGGTATGCCTCTTGAGATAAGCATAATTTCGACTGCTTTCTATCTCTTCGAATGTCAATTCCAAGAATCCTAGATGCAGCTCCCAGATCCTTCATGTCAAACTCCTTATTGAGTTCAGCCTTCACCCTCATTACTTCTTCGACATTGTTGCTTGCTATCAGAATATCATCAACGTAAAGCAACAAAATTACAAATGAATTTTCAGGTCGAAATTTGGAGTAAACACAATGGTCGAACTGACTTCTAATGAAACCTATGTGTTCCATGAACTTGTCGAATCTCTTATTCCACTGTCGAGGAGATTGTTTAAGTCCATATAAAGATCTCTTCAGTTTGCACACATAATCTTCTTTCCCCTTTTCGACATACCCTTCAGGTTGCCTCATCAGGATTGTTTCATCTAAGTCACCATACAAGAACGCAGTCTTCACATCCATTTGTTCCAGTTCAAGGTCGAACTGAGCCACCATGGCAAGCAACATTCGGATGGATCTGTGCTTCACAACAGGGGAAAATACATCATTGAAGTCGACACCTTCTTTCTGAGTGAAACCCCTTGCGACTAATCTTGCCTTGTACCTCTTCGACATTACTCCTTCAATTCCTTCCTTAACTTTGAAAATCCACTTACAGCTGACTAACCTTGCCCCAACAGGTTTCTTGATTAGTTCCCAAGTGTGATTGTCATGGAGAGATTTCATCTCATCATGCATGGCCTTTAGCCATTCAGTCTTCATTCGACTCCTTATAACTTCCTTATAATCTCTAGGTTCTTCGTCTAGAA